CTGGGGGTAGGGTGGCCAGATTTAGCAAATAAAATACAGGATACTCAATTAAATTTGAATTTCAGATAAACAATGAATAACATTTAGCCTAAGTATTTCCCAAATATCATATGGGACATACTTATACTAACATACTATTCATTGTTTCTCTGAAATTCAAATTTAACTGGGCATCCACTATTTTAGCTAGCAACTCTGTCCTGACCACCTCTTCAGTCAACAGATTCCAGGTCTGAGAAATGGATTAGGTCCAGGTCTTGGACAAGATATTATGTTGGAGCAGGGGGTGACTGACTTCAGTCTCCTGCTCATGTATTCTTGCCTGCTTCTGCTTTTAGCGTGTAGGGCAAAACCTGTTTTGCCCTTGGTGACACGATGTTCTTTAATCCTCTCCACAATTCCCTCAAGGTCAAGCCATTTTGATGACTGCTCTTCAACCTTACTGACCCTTATGGTAATTGTGATCACTCAGCTTCTGGAAGCTAAACACTACCAACCTCTATTGCTTTGTGGCCCCGTTATTTCCACTGCAATTAATAAGTCCAGCTCTATGACCACTTTTCCTACTGTCAACCCTGGCCTGCAGAGAAGTCACTGCAACAGTTTTACGTGATGCTGATTTCCTCTCATCAGTAGCTTCCTGATTGTGAATGCATCCCTTGGGCCCTTCAGTGAAATAAAATAATTCTCTGTCAGATCTTCTGGCCTCACATGACATATCCATTTGCACATGTCTCTTTTCCTGCATCTTTTAATGCTTTCGTACAGATAGTCAATTACAAAATTGGATTTATGTATTCTATTATAAAACTGGGTAAACAGGTACATATATTTGCACTTCAAAGTTACTTAGAGTATGTTACCAAATGTTGGCACTGAGCGATGAGATTATGGGAGACTTTTTTTCCTTTATGTTTTTACATATTTTATAAGATCTTTTTTCAGAATAAGAAAAATAATTTTTTTAACACTTAAGTTTACCAGTTTATTATAAAGGATATTACAAAAGATACAAATGATCAGCTAGATGAAAAGGCACATAGGGTGAGGTCTAAAAGGGTCCTGAGCACAGAAACTTCTGTCCCTATGGAGTTAGGGTGCACCAACCTCACAGCATATGGGTGTATTCACCAACCCAGAAGCTCTATAGTTTAGAAATTTTTACAGAGGCTTTGTCACATGTAGGCATGATAGTTTACTAACTCACTCTCCAGCCCCTCTCCCCTCCCCTGAGGGTAGGGGTAAGGCTGAAAGTTCACACCTTGGTCTTGCCAGCGACCAGCCCTTTTGCTGACACTAACTAGGGGCCCCCAGTCACCAGTCATTTCATTAGCTTACAAAAAGACATTCTTATCACTACGGTGATAAGAAAAATAACTTTTAAACAATAAAGGTGATGACAAAATTAAGAGCATCGGAAAGGATACAGATACCCTTGAGCAGGATGAAGCATTTCTTTCCATTGTCCATAGTTTCCATGACTATGCTGAGTTTCAGGTACTATATAGACTGAAGCAGTTTGATGGGCATAAATACAATAGATGTCCAAAAAAATAAAAAAAACCTAGGAGACCATTTGTGGCACTGTTGTATAGGAGCTAAAAAATTAAAAGCCCACCAAACTAAAGTAGTATTTTTAAAATTGAAGCCAGGCTATAATTCTCAGAAAATTCAATCAGTTTTCATTCTTATCTGGAATTACATCATGGCTTCTCCCACTTTAACAGGACTAAATTGGACTATTCAAGTAAAAAGTAGGTAGAGCTTTTTCAATTTTATGCAATATGAACAGATTCCCTATTATTGATTTTTTTTCAAATTGCAGATCTAAATTCATGATTTGAAAACGTACTGGCAGGCACAAGTATTGACTGCATTCTTCTTAATACACTGTATTTAACTGTTTCAGAAAAATGGAGGAGTCACAAGACTCATATACCAAATACCAGCAGAAACTCTTTTTTTCCAGCCACTCATCTTTATTTTATAATGTGTCCAAGATACCAGAAAATTACTCTAAGAGAACCAGAAAAACAATGAGGGGACCTGCACCAGAATCATATATAGCCACTGGATTCTCTATATTTCTCCTGGGTCATTCTTCCTGGGAGTTTGTAACCAAGATCTCACATAGCCAGACCCGATCACATCAGCCTTCACCACATAACGGAATTCATTATCACAGCGGACACCAAAATGCATATAATCATGGTAATGCTACACAATATTATTTCTTCCTGCCTCACCTGGTTTTCAGAAACCTGAATCAGTCACCGCAATGAGTTAGTTCTCCTCAAAATAAAAATGTCTCCAGAACTTGCCCTCTTTGCTCCATCCCCATCATTACTATTACTGCAGTGTAAGACTTTAGAGTTGGACAGTTTGGGGTTCAAGTTCTAGTTCTCATGTCTGACTTTTGACAAGTTACCTAACCTCTTTGAGAAGGTACTTAGCCTGGATTTCATCATCTATAAAATGAGAATATCTCCTATATGGCATATTTATAAAGATAAAAGATTATGTATAGTAAGTACTTAGCATTATAAGTAGTACAAAGTAGCTGCTCAATAAAATGGTGGTTAACTTTGTTTCCTACCTTAATGTCTAATCCAGCCTTTATTATATGATATCCTCCTAACGGGACCCTGTGTCTTCAGTCTTTTTCCTCTTCATCCTCGTCCTCTCTGTTTTTGCCAAAACTTCTATATTTAAAAAAACCAATCACAACATATCCCTATTGAAAATTTATGTCACATTGTTTGTAAGATCTACTCTCAAATCCTTAGGTTACCATAAAATGTCTTTATGGTTTGACTCTCATTTTTTCCACTCCTGTCATTCTTTGAGCCAAAGGCAACATTTGAACATTCACTATATGCTAGGTATAGTGGATATGGTGGGAAGCAAGACCCACATTCACCCATATTTACAGAGCATATTTAATAGTCACTATCAAGTATTAAGTCTTTCCTGAACAGAATATTTATCCACAACATTTTTTACCCCATTCAAGGAGGTATAAATATTCATGCCTTCAAATATCAAATAGGAGATACCCCCATACAGTCAAAGATGAGGAAAGGGATCAAATCTGATTGAAGGAGAACTCAGAGGAAAGGAAGACAAAAATTAAAATGTTAAATTTAGCCTCTGGTTTAAGTTTTAATACTAGCAAGAGAGAAAAGGTGATACAGGAGCCAATAGAGCTATGCACAGCTGGAGGAGAGTTCAAGTCCATTAGAGGTGATTATCAGACAGACCTTCTAGACAAACTGTCATTAGGGCAGGGTCTTAAATGTGGGTAGAATTTCTACAACTAGAGGAGGTGGAAGGACTTTTCAACCAGTGGGAAGAGCATCAAGCCAGGCCAATCACCTTGCCAGCCAAGTTTTAAATTACTATCAGAGAAACATTGTTCAAGTGATAATCTTTAGGATTACTCAGCTACAAGAATTCTGATTGTCTTAAAACAGCCATCCTCAAACTTTGGTGTGAGTCAGCATCACCTGGGTTCATTGAAGTATACTAAGGTCTGAACCTGTTTTTGCAAATTTTCCCAGGTGATTCTGATACACACAAAATATTGAGAACTACTGTCTTTAAAGAGCTAAGCCAATTCTTTTCAAAGTGTGATCTATGATCAGCAGCAGCATCACCTGGAGGCTAGTTATAAATGCAGGAAATAAGAACCCACTTCAGACCTACTGAATGAAAATTTGTGTATTAAGATCTTCATGTGATTCATATGAACATTTAACTTTAAGAAAAACCGGTCTAAACCAGTGACTCTTAACCCTAGCTTCACATCAGAAGTTGGCACTAGGAACTTTAAAAATTACTGATACCTGGATCTCACCCTCAGGTTTTTATTTAATTTGTATGGATGTGACCTGGATGTGAGTTTTAGGTGCTTCCTAGGTGATCTTAATAGGCAGTAAAATTTGCAAATCACTGATCTAAGCAATTTCCAGGTGCTCCTGATTCTTTGTAAGTATACTAAACTAACATGGGCTCCTTGATAATTTTTATAATTAGCCCCATAAAACCAAAGGAAATCTAACTTAAGAAATTTTAGTTAAATTATAAAATATTAGAATAAATTAATCTTTTCACTAACGTCATTTTACGAATACACACACATGCTTAGTTTATATGTTATAGAAGGAAGCAATAGAATAAAACCATGTATCATAAATGGAAGCTCTTCAAGTTATAGAAGTGTTCAGGTCCAAAATTCAGCAGCTCATTGCAAAAGTTTCTGTTGCTTAATTAGTTGGGGACATTGGGGAAAAAAAATAGAGGGGCTCCCCTAACTAATAAGGTTCTGACATTTAAAAGATGGTATTTTGAACCTTAGAAGTCAATAATACTTGCGTATAGACCGTGTCCAAATTGTCCTAAAATTAGAACTAGCACATATAATTTAGTTTGATTTTACAATTAAAGACTCATTCTAATGATACCATATACTTTAAAAGTCATAAAACATCATTACAATATTGAGTGTATCATTGATTAACATGGTTTCTAACAGTTTAGGGTTTTTTAATGTATTTTTTTTATTTTAAAATTTATTTAAAAAATGAAATAAAAGTCATAAAATTAATGACTTTTTATAGCTCTGAAATAGACATAAAAAGACCCAAAAAAAGTCTTGGTACAAGAAAATTATATGGGTGAAATTGAATTTAATCTATGGGTTTAATATGCTATTCCATCTTTTATAAATTATTTAATCACCTGTGACCAGTAATATTTATGATTATATTGCCATCTGCTGGTGAATAATTTAAGCTTATCCTATAATGATGTTTTAAAGTAAACTTGACTTTTTGCTACTGCTTTCAGTGAATGTATGTTTCACATTAAAATTTAAAACTTCATAAAAGAAAATCTTTGAACCATCATATAAACCGCAACATAATTAAGGCATATTACAAAATACGTTTTGGGAAAATTCACAAACTGAGGATTTGTGAGGAATATTGATTTACATGCAGGTTTTGGTCCATTGTCATCCTCGGTTCTAAGACTGCAGGATAGAGTGAGCCTGGGCCGTGGGGCCAGGGTCGCCCTGAGCCGGTTCCTGGGCCCATTCTACCGCGAGCTGGTCAGAAACTGCATTCCCATGTCGGGCACATGGTGCCCCTGGGCACCATGGGGTGGTGTGGGCCACCGCCTGGCAGCTGATCCTGGACTGGGTGTTCTACATCAACGGCAAGTTTAAGGATGATTAATTAAATCAATCCCCCTGAAGCCCTTCTGGTATCTGGTGGTGCTGCCTCCTTCCATCTGCCTGTGGAACAGCCCAACCTCTCAGGATGGACCTTGATGAAACCCACAGCGCGACTTAGACTTTCGAGGATTTTGACAATAGTTTTGGTTTGTGAATGCACACAGCATTAAACTTCGCTCTGAAACTTGAAAAAAACAGAAAAGAAAAGAAAAAAAAGAAAAGACTTCAGGATACTTAAGCATGTCACTAAAGCCAAGGTTAGGTTATCAACAACCAGGAATAGAGATGTGTTATTTGGCAAAGGTATTAAAATCAGAGAAAGCAGACATGTCCAGAATTCTTGGGAATCTTGAAAGTGCAATGCGCACATAATTACAACCAGTGGCAAAACAGAAAGAAGGCAGAGAGAAAAGGCATGTGATTACACATATGATACACCTATATTAAGAGGAATGTTAAGACATGTAGAGAAAAATATAGGTCATTCTACCCCTCTGGATGTGGTTGGACTTCTGCTCCTAAAGAAATAAGTATATGGAATCCCTTCCAGTCCATTGTGGCTCTGGTGAAGAGCAACCTAATGCTTGAAATGGGAACAGCTTTGGGAGTGTGCCTTGACTTTTCTCCCTGCAGAGGCCTTGGGTATTTCTCCAGTTTCTGCCCTAACCCACAGAGAAGAGAGAACCTTAGCCAAGGCTTTAGGCTTGGGGCAGGGGTGCTGGGCTCCAGCTGGGTGATGGCCCTTCTGTACCAGAAGATGGTTGCCTGCAGAGGGGACACTGCTGCCTCTCTCTCCCTCTCCATACTGCATCAAGAAAGCGCTGTACACTGTACGCCTTCTCCTTTACCTGCCTCTTCCTTCCTGACCAAAAAAAAACTGTATGCGGAACCCAAAGAAGGGGCCAACATGTGTTTCAGCTTCCTAAAAATAGGACCACTCTTTTAGACTTCCACTTATCTCTTAGACAAGGCACTTCCAGCATTGCTAGTGGTACAGAGACACCTGCACAGACTATATTGCATACCAAATGGCACCAGTGTAACATTATGAATAATGAATTATCTTTAGAAACAAAGCATGGGCAGCTGTTAGTGTTTATGACCAGTTTTTATACCAATAGTATGCAGTATAGTCTGATGCAAGTCACTTCATCTCTGTTTTCTCTCTATGAAATTAAGGAGTTGACCAGACTAAGAAAGGCAACTAGGTTTCATGGTGTGATGGTTAATTTTATATGTCAACTTGGCTAGGTCACAGTACTCAGATATTTGGTCAAACTTTATCCTAGATATTTGTGTGAAGGTATTTTTTAAATGATATTAACATTTAGATCATTCAAACATTTTGGGTAAATCTCATTACCCTCCATAATGTGGGTGGGCCTCATCCAATCAGTTGAAGGCCTTAATAGAAAGTGAGGGAGGTCTCCTAATGGCTCTGTTTCTCTGGGGAACCCTGAGTAATACACATGGTAATGGATTTATTTTAACTTAGGTTACAAAGAATGTTCATTTATAGGTTAAAATGAGACATATTATTCCCTAATACTATTCCCCCATCAAGGGGAAATGACAAGCCAAATTAGTCATCAGAAAAGTAGATTGATGGCTTTGAAGAATAAAATATTCTTGGCACTTGATATTGTGGTGAAGTTATTCTGCTATATAGTACACATTTGCCCTTTTTTTGTTACTTGATCAGCATCTGGGAGGTTGTGGCCAAGAACCCTAAAATTCACCCTAAAAGTCATGTTCTTGTAGCCCTGCTATAGTCTTCACCAGCTGAGGGTAGGCATGACTCACACTTTTTTTTTTTATTCTTTTTATACAGCAGATTCTTATTAGTTATCTATTTTAAACATATTAGTGTATATATGCCAATCCCAAACTCCCAACTCATCCCACCACCACCACTGCCCCCCGCTTTCCCCCCTTGGTGTCCATACATTTGTTCTCTACATCTGTGTCTCTATTTCTGCCTTGCCAACTGGTACATCTGTAACATTTTTCTAGATTCCACATATATGCCTTAATATATGATATTTGTTTTTCTTTTTCTGACTTACTTCACTTTATATGATGGTCTATAGGTCCATCCACATCTCTACAAATGACCCAATTTTGTTCCTTTCTTTGGTTAATATTCCACTGTCTATATGTACCACGTCTTCTTTATCCATTTGTCTGTCAGTGGACATTTAGGTTGCTTCCATGACCTGGCTATTGCAAATGTTGCTGCAATGAACATTGGGGTGCATGTGCCTTTTTGAATTATGGTTTTCTCTGGTTATATGCCCAGTAGTAGGATTGCTGAGTCATATGGTAATTCTATTTTTAGTTTTTTAAGGAACCTCCATACTGTTCTCCATAGTGGCTGTATCAGTTTACATTCCCACCAACAGTGCAAGAGGGTTCCCTTTTCTCCACACCCTCTAGAGCATTTGTTGTTTGTACATTTTCTGATGATGCCCATTCTAACTGGTGTGAAGTGATACATCTTTGTAGTTTTGATTTGCATTTCTCTAATAATTAGTGATGTTGAGAAGCTTTTCATGTGCTTCTTGGCCATCTGTATGTCTTCTTCGTAGAAATGTCTATTTAGGTCTTCTGCCCATTTTTTGATTGGGTTGGGGTTTTTTTAATACTGAGCTGCATGAGCTGTTTGTATATTTTGGAGATCAATCCTTTGTGTGTTGATTCATTTGCAAATATTTTCTACCATTCTGAGGGTTGTCTTTTCTTCTTGTTTATAGTTTCCTTAATTTTTCTTTCTGATCTTTTGTTGTTAGTGTATAAGAATGCAAGGGGTTTCTATGCATTAATTTTCTATCCTGCAACTTAACCAAATTCATTGATTAGCTCTAGCAGTTTTCTGGTGGCATCTTTAGGATTCTCTATGTAGAGTACCATGTCATCTGCAAACAGTGACAGTTTTACTTCTTCTTTTCCAATTTGTATTCCTTTATTTCTTTTTCTTCTCTGATTGCCTTGGCTAAAATTTCCAAAACTATGTTGAAAAGTAGTGGTGAGACTGACACCCTTGTCTTGTTCTGATCTTAGAAGAAATGCTTTCAGTTTTTCACCATTGAGAATGATGTTGGCTGTGGGGATGTAATATATGACCTTTATTTTGTTGACGTAGGTTCCCTCTATGCCCACTTTCTGAAGAGTTTTTATCAAAAATGGGTATTGAATTTTGTCAAAAGCTTTTTCTGCATCTATTGAGAAGATCATATGGTTTTTATTCTTCAATATGTTAATATGGTGTATCACATTGATTGATTTGCATATATTGAAGAATCCTTGCATCCTTGGGATAAATCCCACTTGATCATGGTGTATGACCTTTTTAATGTGTTGTTGGATTCTGTTTGCTAGTATTTTGTTGAGGAATTTTGCTTCTATGTTCATCAGTGTTATTAGCCTGTCTAGTTTTGGTATCAGGGTGATTGTGGCCTTGTAGAATGAGTTTGGGAGTGTTCCTTACCCTGCAATTTTTTGGAAGAGTTTGAGAAGGATGGTTGTTAGCTCTTCTCTAAACATTTGATAGAATTCACCTGGGAAGCCATCTGGATCTGGACTTTTGTTTGTTGGAAGATTTTTAATCATAGTTTCAATTTCATTACTTGTGACTGGTCTGTTCATATTTTGTATTTTTTCCTGGTTCAGTCTTGGAAGCTTATACCTTTCTAATAACTTGTCCATTTCTTCCAGGTAGTCCATTTTATTGGCACAGAGTTGCTTGTAGTAGTCTTTTATCATCCTTTGTATTTCTGCAGTGTTCATTGTAGCTTCTCCTTTTCATTTCTAACTGTATTGATTTGAGTCCTCTCCCTCTTTTTCTTGATGAGTCTGGCTAAATGTTTATCAATTTTGTTTGTCTTCTCAAAGAACCAGCTTTTAGTTTTATTGATCTTTGCTATTGTTTCTATTTCATTTATTTCTGCTCTGATCTTTATGATTTCTTCTTCTAACTTTGAGTTTTGTTTGTTCTTCTCTCTCTAGGTCCTTTAGGTGTAAGGTTAGATTACTTATTTGAGATTTTTCTTATTTTTTTGTGCTGGGATTGTATTGCTATAAACTTCCCTCTTAGAACTGCTTTTGCTGCATCCCATAGGTTTTGGATTGTCGTGTTTTCATTGTCATTTGTCTCTAGATTTTTTTTATTACTTCTTTCATTTCTTCAGTGATCCCTTGGTTATTTAGTAATGTACTGTTTAGCCTCCATGTGTTTGTGTTTTTTACGTTTCTTTCCCTGTAATTGATTTCTAATCTCATAGTGTTGTGGTCTGAAAAGATGCTTGATATGATTTCAACTCTCTTAATTTTGCCAAGGCTTGATTTGTGACCCAAGATGTGAGCTATCCTGAAGAATGTTTCATGTGCACTTGAGAAAAATGTGTAATCTGCTGCTTCCAGATGGAATGTCCTATAAATATCAATTAAATCTATCTGGTCTATTGTGTCATTAAAGCTTGTGTTTCCTAATTAATTTTCTGTCTGGATGATCTGTCCATTGTTGTAAGTGAGGTGTTAAAGTCCCCCACTATTATTGTGTTACTGTCAATTTCCTCTTTTATAGCTGTTAGCAGTTCCTTATATATTGTGGTACTTCTATGTTGGGTGCATATAGATTTATAATTGTTATATCTTCTTCTTGGATTAATCCCTTGATCATTATGTAGTGTCCTTCCTTGTCTCTTGTAACATTCTTTTTCAAAAGTCTATTTTATCTAATATGGGTATTGTTCCTCCAGCTTTCTTTTGATTTCCGTTTGCATGGAATATCTTTTTCCATCCCCTCATTTTCAGTCTGTATGTGTCCCTAGTCTGAAGTGGGTCTCTTGTAGATAGCATATATATGAGTCTTGTTTTTGTATCCATTCAGCGAGCCTGTATCTTTTGGTTGGAGTGTTTAATCCATTTACACTTAAGGTAATTACCAATATGTATGTTCCTATTGCCATTTTCTTAATTGTTTTGGGTTTGTT